GTCAAATTAGATTTGGATACTGTCTGAGAACTGATAAGTTGTAGGTTTCTAGCCACTCTTTAGTGAGCTTTATGTTCATGTATTAATATGATTAATGTGTTGTGGGTTTTTCTTTGTGGATCATGAGGCTTGAACTCAGCCTGGGCTCTGTCCCTCAGCTCTTCAGCTCAAGACCAGTGCTCTACCATTTGAGTCACAGTGCCAGTTCTGGTTTTCTAGGGGTTTATTGGAGATAAGAGTTTCGTGGACTTTCTTGCCCTGGCTGCCTTTGAACAGCGATCCTTAGATCTCAGCCTCCTGAATAGCCATGATTACAGGCATAAACCCCTGGTGCCTGGCATGGTTGTGTTTTTAGGGAAATGCCAAGTAAAATTCTACATGGGATTAAATTAGCATTGTGCTTTTGATTTTATACCTTGACTTGAAAATCATATACATTTGTAATAGTTTACTTGGATGACTGGGATTAGCATAAAAATAAGAATGAAACCACTTATCAATTTTTGGTCCCAATTTGAGTCTTACTAGAAAATGTTGCTCTACTAAGTATGTGTGTGTGTGTGTGTGTGTGTGTGTGTGTGTGTGTGTGTGTGTGTGTGTATTGGTACTTGAGTTTGACCTCAAATCTTATACATTGTACTTTGTTTTTTTCACTCAAGACTTATTCTCCACCACTTGAGCCACACAGCAACTTCTGGTTTTTTAGTGGTTATTTGGAGTTAAAAGTCTCAAAGACTTTCCTACCTGAAATCACTTTGCACCATGGCCTCAGATCTCATCCTAAAATTTTTTTATTAGTCTTTCATTTGAGGCATACCAGTGCTTTCTCAGTGGGTCCTCATATAATAGCAACAATTTGAAGATATGTGTTGCAAAGTCACATGGAATTGATTCCTCATAGGTGTTCTCTTCTTATCAATAATGATAAGTATTTTACCAAGTCACCACTACGGCATACTATTCTGTAAAGATCCACTTAGTGGCAAGTTCACTAGAAATCCTTTCTTTGTGGAGGAAATAGAATTTTCTCTCATAGGAGTGAATATATATTCATAGTATGCACATTCTTCCTCTCATCTATAATACCTCAGTTTTAACTACCATTATTTGCCCAAATTGCAAACTATACAAAATCACCACTGATAAAGGAATTTACTTGACACCAATGTAATTGCAATCAATGATTTATCTGGCTTGACTATATACATAGGTGCCCATTACAAAAAGAACCTAATTGAATGGTGGATGGTAAAGTGAATTCTCTCCTTGCTCTCATGGGAGAAAAAAACTTATTGTCTGAATTGGGGAATAAAGATGAGGAAGTGGGTAAAGGTAGTTATATTGTTATACCTAATTACCTCATACAAATTTTGCTTCCAATCACTACAACTTTCAGTTCTGCTTGGTTCCGAAGGGAGGTATACTCATAACCAGAGTTTACACTATTTTTATTAGCTCAAAAATTAAAACTAGCGGGGGGAGGCTGGGAAGGGAGGTGAAGGGTAAACAAAGGAGGAGGCTGCAATGCTTGGGAAGAAATGTATGCATTTTCCTGCCCATGTAATTGTAACCCCTCTGTACAGTATGTTTTCAAATAAAAAAAAAAAAATTAAAACTAGCTTTGGTATTTTGAAATTTCCAGGGAATGTATTCATTCTGAGATATAAATTTTATACATATGCATTATTATCTTTGGAGATAATTCTAATAAAAGAATTATCAATTAATGAAAATATATTTGATTAAATTGTATATACTATGTCTTGATCATATGAAAGAAAACGAAATGTTGGAATTGAGATTTATTATTTGAATATTCTCATAATGACTTATATTACAAGATAAAATTAAAAATAATCTTATTTATATTTCCATTATCAAAATTTTGTAAAATCCTTAGAAATAGTATTTAACTCTAAATCTATCTTCCAATAATAAGATATTATTTCTAGCAATATCTCATTCAGTATTTTTAAAAGGAGGTCAAGTTACTTAAAATATATAGTGAGAACATGTCATGGTAAAATGATGGACGATCCCTTGACAATGAATCAAGCCTATACAGAAGTCAGAGATAAGAAAATAGTTGGCTGGTTCATACTGTGCTTGATAAAACTAGACAGCAAAGTATACAATTGCCAAGAACTAGATTTTTATTAGTAATATTAATACATATGTGTTCTTGATATGAATTATTTTTTTACATTCTACATGAAGAATAAATTTTGTTGCACTGTTTAATGTTAATGCTAAATTAGTATTTTGGGACATGAAAATTATATCTTAAACCTTTAAGTAAAGAAGAACAAAGCAATGTCACTTTAAGGAAGTTCAATTCATTTCTCTCTGCCTTATTTTCTAATAAATAATGTTGGGATAATACTAAGAGTATTTAAGGCAATACATATAATACTAGAGAATAAAGAATAAAGGATGACAATTACATTATTTAAAATCTGCTATACTAAAACAGGAAAAGCACTTGTGTTCCTTTCACTTTGAGATTTTTATTGCTGATTAGAAATAAATTTCAATGTATTTATTTTACCATCCTGTACATGATTTATGACTTTAAAAATTTAGATTTTTAAGCTATCAGAAAATTTTTCTTACATACTCTAAAAAGTAAGTGTCATAAACATGTGAATGAAAAATGGTTTCTATATACAACCCATTTTACTTTTTATTGCAGCTTTAAGAAATAGTCAAATAAAGCATGGCCCTTTCTTCAACAGAATGGCATTTGAGGAAATTTATAAAAATTACTAATAACTCAATATATAGATATATATGTGTGCGTATATAAATACTATTAGTATTTATTTACTTATTTTGAACTAGGCCCTGAGAGGAGACTTGAGCTGGGACAGCTTCTTTACTGGTTTTGTTTTTGTTTTAGGGATTTTAGAAAAAAAACAAAAACCTTGGCTCCAACCATCCCAGTTCTTGAAATGAAAAGAATGCCTCTAGGTCCCCCTCCCCTTAACTTAACCCACCTTCATTGTTTTGTTAAAGACTGACTGATTAAACAGGTAGCCAGTAATCCAGCTCATGCTGGCATGCTTGCTGGCATGCTGGGGACATCCTGAGTTTACTATAAACTCTACCTTTTTCACATGCTTATGTTAAACTCCACTAAACTCCTTTGTGTATGTTTACCTTAAGCTCTGCTTTACCATTGAATTCGTGAGTCATTTAAACCAAAAGTGATAGGCTGGTTTAAACAGCCATTATGTGACAAAGTGTAACCTCACTGGCCACCTGCGTGTGGTCTGGTATGACTGTGCAATCTTTTGGGTGTGTGAAAATCTCATTGGTTGCCTACTTGACCAGGCTTCACCTTGTGATTTTTGCCTTTAAAAACCTAAGCACGTGGGTCGCAGTATCAGCTCCCGAGCCTGTGCTGCGGCCCTGGTTGGTCAGTGTAGGAACCTTCTCAATAAAGTTGCTTCTTTAATATCAACTTTGTTGTGGTGGGCTCTGTCAGTCCGGACGACTAGGTGGGCTTGCCTGCCTAAGTAGGGGTCTTCCTACTACAGTTTTATTATTCAGCTAGTGAAAAGTGTGCTCAAAGTACCTTTCACCATTTTTCCTTCTATGTTTTCTAATTTATTATTTGAATTTTATTTTACTGTAAAGATGCTGTACAGAAGTGTTACAGTTACATGAGTAAGGCAATGAGTAGATTTCTTGTTGAACAATGTTACTCCTTCCCTTGTTGTTTTCCCACTATCTCTTCCCTTCCCCACCTCCCTCACTTCTCCCCCCACTTGAAGTTGTAGGTATCATTGTTACAATGGGTCATCCTGTGTCCTTGTTTCAATGTTTTGTTATTCCCCTTCCCCTCCCCAAATTAGACAAACAATACATACAAGATGCTGGCTACCAAAATAAAGTACAGTGACAACAAAGGATGACCATATAAGATGGTGCTAAGTGAAATGAACCCGAGATATGGACACAAGAGGTTTTTCTTCGTTGTTGTTTTTAATGTGCTTCATGATTTTTTGTTTCCTTCTATATTTTACCATTCTTATTATATCTTTTTCATTTTCTTTCATTAACAATTGTGTGGGAAGCTTGCTTAAGGACAAAATTATAATATTTTTCCTTTGGACTAATTTAAACAAATTTGGGGAAGTGGAAATATTTTATCAGAACGTTTTCTCAATCTAAGTTCAAATATTTTTATTTTTTAACTTTAATTTTATTGTCAAGATTATTTACAGAGGGGTTACAGTTACATACGTAATGTACTGAGTGCATTTCTTGTCAATGTGTTATTCCGTTCCTCATTTTTCTCCCACTTTGCCCCACCCCAACTTGTAAAGCTCATTTCCAACATATTGTCTTGTGAGTATCACTGCTGCATTGATTCACCCTTTGTCTTTTGTCTCACCATTTTGTAGTTCTCCTTCCCTTCCCTAATTCAGATAATCATATATAAATGTACATTGTATCAAAATCAAATACAGTGAAAACAAGGGATGAAACATAGGGAAAAAACAGAAAAAAATAAAAAAGAAACAACTTTATATAGTACATAAAAAACAACAGCAAAGAAAAACCTCTTGTTTCTATATATTGGAGTTCATTTGTCTTAGCATCATCTTATATGGTCATAAGTACATAGCAATTGAGCTATTGTGATCCTATATTAGGACTATCCTAGACATTTACTAATTATTAAAATGAGGGAAATTATGAAGACTATGTTACTTTGGGTCTGGCTTACCTCACTTAGAATTCTATCAATTTGATTAATATGCTTACAGGCATATGGAGACGAATTGGAAAATATACCCCATAGAAAAGGATCAATAATGTTTATATTTTAGAAAAGTATTTCATGGAATTCTATTATTTTCTACAGAAATATTAAATTATATCATCTATTTTATCCTAAATCTTATTAGCAAAGCCAGTAATAACATGTATATGTAAACACTCCAAATTCTCATCATATATTTCATTGGAAATACATTATCAAATTCACGTATTCATATGAGGTTTAATAAAATGTTAACCTTGGTCTCTATGAAGTAGTTTTGTAATCTCTCCAGAGCACATTTAATCTCTTTATTTCTCAATGTATAAATGGCTGGATTTAGAAGAGGTGTAATAACAGAGTAAAACACAGCAAGAAATTTGTCCACCGAAGTGATACTAAGTGGCCAAACATAAATGAAGATACAAGGCCCAAAGAATAGCACCACTACTGTAAGGTGGGCAGTGCATGTAGAGAAGGCCTTGGATGCACCAGTTTTAGAGCTTTTGTAGACAGTGAGGAGAATGTACGTGTAGGATATCAGCAACAAAATGAAACAGGTCATAGCCAAAACACCACTATCACCATTCATTAACATTCCCAAGTTAGAAGACTCTATGCAGGCTAACTTGATTACCAGTGGGATATCACAGAAGAAGCTATCTATTTCCTTTCCACAAAATGGTAGCTGTACAATCACAATGAGTTGACTCATGGCATGCACAAAACCAATGGCCCAGGCAGTCACCACCAACCTAATGCCATTATGTAGGTTCATCATGGAAAAATAGTGAAGTGGTTTGCAGATGGCTACATAGCGATCATAGGCCATTACCACCAGAAGCACCATCTCTCCTCCTCCAATAAAATGCACAAATAGAATTTGGGACATGCACCCTCCAAATGAAATGGTCTTTTTCTCCCTAAGAAAGTCTGTAATCATTTTAGGAGTGGTGACTGAAGATAGCCACAAATCAATGAAGGACAAGTTGGCCAACAAGAAGTACATGGGAGAATGAAGGTGGGAGTCAGTGAAGATGACAATTATTATTAAAATATTTCCTGACACAATAATCAGATAAAGCATCAGAAATACCATCAAAAGTAAGACTTGGATATTCCATGAATTGCTAAGTCCCAGAAGCACAAATTCTAACACTATAGACTGATTTCTTTCATCCATTTTACTCAGTATATCCAATGACATAACCTAAAAAAAAGGATAGATAAGTTATTGGTATGAGAAAAGGAAGTTCATTTCTAGAATTTAGTATTCACACTAAAACTTGACACATGCATCTGAAATTGGAAGTCATACGAGAAAAGAAATCTGGATTGATAATGTAGTAGTGATTACTTTCAAATGAGAAGCTATGACTGGCCTCTTAAAAACAGAGGATAATGTGAAGCTGTTATACAAATTATTCTTTCTTTTTCTATTTTCACCACCACAGTGCAGTGAGGAAGTGTGAAAAAAATTATTGAAATACTGTTTGCAGGTTAGACATGACCCTCCATTACACTGCAATGGTTGAATAAAATATATTTAAGCCAGAAAATAAAAAGTGATATTGAAATCTACTAAAATTGACTTGATAAAACTACAATTTTCTGTACCTCTTCTATAAGATATAAATGTGATTTTTAGTATATCACTCTAAAACAAGTTTGTGAAACCTTGTAGAAATAAATTACTTAGAAAGTCATATAAAATAACAAGCATAATGATTTGTGAACAAAAGCAAGTACGTGCCTTTTCATTAATTAAAATCTACAACTAAATGAAATCACTTAGTAGGTTAAATGGATTAGATAAAAAGGAAGAATCTGCAGTCTTACAAAACTGGCATTAGTCAAAGTTGAAGACAACTCAAATTCAGACTCATTAACTAAGTGGAAGTTAATTTTACTTCAGTAAAATAGAAAATATTTCCTTCAATTTTACAAATGGATCCTGGGAGACATCTAATTTTTGAAATATTATTATATCCTATATTATTATCTCCTGACCACCAAAGTTATAGGATTTGTCAATTTATTTATCTATAACTTGTTTATTTTTTATATAAATAGTCTAAGAATAAATTGCAATCCTATAAAAGAAGTATATCTCTGACTCTTGATAGTGAACAAGTCTAAACTTCAAGAATGATCAATTATTTATTTTGTTTCTATTTGTCCCTAATTACTTTTTTTTCAAATTTGGCATTGGAAAATTACTTCCTGTTCCTTTTTCCTGTATTCTTTTTAAATTTTTAAAAATTTTGATGGTTAATTGGATATAAATATCTCATGAATTTATATATCTCTTATGAATTTATATCTTGGCAGGACCTATAAAAGGAATAGAACATCTTAGTAAAGTGTCTTTATAATTCTGACCTTGGGGGTCAGAGACAATTTTTCACACATTGTTAATTTTAGTGCTGTAACTGGTGGACATGAAAACTTAGAGAAAAGAGACAAATTGAGTTGCTCTATTAGAAAAAATAAAATAACAACACAATACCTTTCAGATTCACAATCCAGACATAAAAATATAAATGATGTATAATCTCATATAAATATGAAATATAAAGTGTTTAATAGAAGATAAGAAATAATGACAGTAAGGCTGGGGTAAGGATTGGAAAATACTAATCAAAGGATATAAAGTTTCGTTAGGAAGAATTAACATTTTGATATATAGGATATAGTATACAATTAAAATGAACTGTATATATATTTTCCTTTTATTGCCAGCCATAGGGACTGAATTTTGGACTTAGGTGCTGTCCCTCAGCTGTTCAGCTCAAAGCTAGAGCCCTACCACTTGAGCCACCATGCCACTTTCGGTTTTTTCTGCTTATGTGGTGCTGAGGAATGGAACCCAGGGCCTCATGCAAACAAGGCAAGCACTCTACCACTGAGCTAACTTCCCAGCTCCTGAACTGTATATTTTTAAATTACTAAAAAATGCTTATTTCAAATATCTAACCGTTAATCTTGTTAAGTGATGATGTAACCATTCTATATCATACACATTCCATAAAAACACACAATTATTATGCGCCAATGAAAATAAATAGCATGATAAATTTTGATCCCTTGTAGGTGAGATATTTTTCCTTAGAGATTCTTTTTATGAAGAACTTAAGACATTGTGGAATATTCAATGTTGATATTGTATGAGAAGATTCTGGGCCTCAGAGTATGTGAGATATTGTGTGAGATATACATTATTCTGTCTTGCTTTTCATCATATTATGAGAATAAAGCTATATAGGCACTAGTATCACATTGACTTGCGTATATAGGCATATTTCTGTTACTTTGCTACAAGACACTATAACACACAGTGTAACCTCTTGTGTGATAAACTTTTTTTTAATATTTCTCTTATTATTTGGTCCAAGATAAATGATAGAACTGTGAAAGAACTGTGATTGCTCTATCAAAACAGAAAAGAATCACTGACCCAGACAATATGGTGTTATGTGCATTCTTGTTATTGAGACTATAGAAACTCCAAAAAAAATAGAATACAAGGAGAAAACCAATAAAATCATTTATGAAAATATAAAAAGCTAAGCTTAAGGTTATGAGTTAAATGCATACATGGAAAATAAATTGTTTTAATATCTATTAACAAAAATAATCATGAAAGGAAACCATATAGAACATAAAATGACTTACTAAATAAGAGTTTTCCCTAAGACCATATTAACGTTTGGTCTTCTGAAGTGTGTTGAAATGATATCCAGATTGGATGGAGACAGTATTTGTGAATGAATTTATCTCAGACTGACACATATTTAACACCTGAAATGGTCCCCTGGGTGAGAGATTCTTATTCTCTGGACAGAAAAAATATCCCCTAGGAACTTTTCAAAATTAGGTTTGCTATCAACTTTTGCATATATTTCAAACAGAAAACAAAACAAAAGGAACATCATACAAATCAGTAAGCGTTAAAATGTAGTGAAATTAAAGTAAAATATTTCCTTTTTTAAATATTCATTTCTTTAATGACTAATAATATCTTTTAACACACATATTTGCATCTGTACACTTCAGTGAAATTTCTGCTCTGAGCTAGTGCCCATTTTTTTTTTAATTTTAATTTTTTGTGAACATACTGTACAGAGGGGTTACAATTACATGGGCAAGATAATGAGTACATTTCTTATCAAGCATTGCAGCCTCCTCCTTTGTTTATCCTTCACATCCCTTCCCAGCCTCCCCTCCATCCCCCCACCCAATCCTCCCCCCCATCCCCCCCGCACCAAAGTTGTAAAGTTCGTTTTCGACATGACAACTTGTACTCGTTTAAGGATAAAGGTGGACCTGTTGCAACAATGAGACGTAAAGTAAAATATTTCCTTATAAATAATAAAAAGAGTTCCCTACAAAAATTTTCTATCATTATCATAGTTAGTGATGATATGACGAATGAAGGTTTAAGTTCTAGTTGCAGAAGTAATCTTCTACAATATGATATATAACAATTCACCAAATGCTGAGAGGTGTGACACTCTATGCATTACTACATTTTCTCTAAAGCAGGTACTCTTTATCATTTCATTGATTTGTTTTAGTATTATCTTTGATTACTAGCTATGTTGATAATTGTGTCTTTGATGTCAAATTGTCAAGGTGTTTCTAGATCTTTAAATAAATCAAGAATGCACATTATCTTAAATCATATTTATGTTAATTCTGAGCTTTTAAAAACTGTCATTTTGGCTCAGTTGACACATAATAACATATATGTTCTGAAAGTGTACCATTTAAGGAATTTTGACATACTATAAAACCATAGTGAAGTTAGTGAAATATGCCTTAGTCCTCAAAGTTCAGATGAGACATCTCATCTATTAACTATTTATTAACATGAGGCATCTCACCTATTAACTATGCCTAATTTCCAATTTCTCCTCCACACAAAAATTAATATCTGTTCTATAATAATTCATAATTTGCATTTTTAACTTATATAAATAAAATCAGGTAATACGTAGATATTAATTCTATGTTTATTATGATATTTATTAAATTATTGCATATATTAATATTGCTTCTTTTTGTTATTGAGTAGTATTTAATTGTATTTGTCAACATTTCTTTATTGCTCCATCTGGTGAGACTAATTTTTTCAAGCCGGGCGCCCATGGCTCAGACCTGTAATCCTAGCTACTCAGGAGGTTGAGATCTGAGGATGACAGTTCAAAGGCAGCTGGAGCAAGAAAGTCTGTGAGATTCTTATCTCATAGTAACCACCAGAAAACCGGAAGTAGATCTATGGCTCAAGTGATAGAGCACTCACCTTGACCTGAAGAGTTCAGGGGCAATGCACAGGCCCAGAGTTCAAGCCCCATGAACAACAAAAAAAAAGGAAAAAAAAGATTACATACCTACAAATAATAGTGCTGTTAATATATGTGTATGTATGTATATATTTATGTTTATGCATATATATGTATTTATTTATAGTTCAAATTTATTGAAATGTGTTTGAAGATAAAATTATAGTTTCACTTGGAGAATATTTTTCTATAAACCATTGACAATTAATTTCTACCAAAATTTCTTCTATTTTTCCTGTGCAAGTTTTCTTTTACATTTTTCATTCCCTATAATTAAAGATATAAGTAATTATAATTTTAGATTATCATAATTGATCCTTTTTTAGGCAGTACTGATGCTTAAACTCAGTAGCTCATATTTGCTAGGCCAGTGCTCTACAATTATGTGCCATACTTCCAGAACTTTTGGCTTTGGTTATTTTTGAGATTGTGTCCAGGGTACTGTGTACTGTGATCCTCTTATTAATTATGTTTCCTGCCTAAACTGGATGACTTGTGTATACCACAAATTCCATATTTTTGTTGAGCTTTTAATGTGGGTTTTTATGAAACATGAACCTCCTGTTCTTGAGGTCTTTTAGTTCCAGAATTATAAGCATGAGTTGCAACACTTGCTCATAATTTTCAAAATGCCTGACCATCTCTATTTCTTAAAGCATTCTTCATTCTAAAATGTATTTTTTTCTCTTAATAAAAATCTCAAGTGTATTCTTTTGCTTTGCATTAGTATTATTCTTTTTTTCTTAACCTTTTTTATTGTGAAAATACTGCACAGAGGGGTTACAATTACATGAGCAAGGTAATGAGTACATTTCTTATCAATCATTGTTGCCTCTTCCTT